ATGCCGTAAATAAATAAGATTTTTACTATAATCCATTTTATCATTGAGTTTTTTATAAAATACCGCGTTTTGTACCGCTCGTTGCTCAACTGCATAATATTATGGATTATGGACAAACGACCGAGACCGATCGCATCGACTAGTCACTAGTCATTAGCACATTTACCGATAAGATAAAAAAATTCCTTAATCGTAATAACTWTACGTCATTTATTCTACAATACTAGTTATTAATACTATTTATCAATTTACGTCTAAAATAACTGTAATCGTAACCGCGAGTCACGACCCATCAAAAAAATTTCGTGACCCATTGTTTGGGAAACGCTGATCTAGATAACCTCATAAGCTTTTTATCATAATTTTAAAGCGAATTTTGGGTAATAATGATGTAAAAACAAAGTTCTTATCTAGTTGATATCTTGGGCGATACAAAAATCAAAAAAATACAAGTACTTATACTTTTCTTAATTTAAGGAAAAAAGGGGATGAGCATGCTTATAGTTAATAACTCTATGTAAAAACATAATAATATATTCTATTTTATATCACTAACATCCACAATTTATATCAATGCGATATCCAACGAATGATTGTCTAACAGAAAACAAATTTAAAACAACTTTCAACCCATTATACAGGTACTATTATTTTAGTTTAATTTTGCAATAAAGATTCACATTTTACTAATATTTTATAAGAACTACTATGGCAAAAGCGTAAATTCTATTTTTAAAACATATCTTGCTCATTCCCAATTGTGTGGGGGGTGACTGCTCCCTTCACCATCATTAAACCTACACAAGGGCGAGTAAAATGAGAAAAGTAGGTATGTAACTGTAAAATTCGGTTATATACGACTTAATATTTCAGTCCAAATATTTTTAAACACAAAAATGTACGGATATTAATTGTGTACAAACACTACAAACATTAGTTTTAAAAGTTTTGACAACAAAATATTATTGGTTTATAAATATTTAAAATAATATACTATTGATTACTTAATTATTTATTGTATTTTATGTTATACATTTTATTCAATGTAATATTATCCTATTCAAATGATTCTCAATGTTTGAGTGAATAAATGAGGTCAAACTTAGTGTATGAATAACTCTAATGAATCAACGTTAAGCAATTGAATATTTAATAATATTACCATAAATTACTTAACTTTGATACAAGAATATCAAATATGTTATAATAATTTGCTAACCATACAGGAATAAAAAAGTTGATGTTAATCAGAAATTCAGAAAGAAATTGTTTATAATATTTTTTTAGGTTTTTTTAAAGTACATATATGTTAATGATATTTGTAAAAAATCTGTCAAGTAYTTATAAAATGTCTAACAATTACGATAACCGCTAGGATATTTATATTTATGTTTTTTATTTATATTACATATAAATGTAATATGCATTTATTGTTGTTGAAACATATTTCACTATAATGATACAATATTATAATAAAATATACACTGAAATTGCTAATAATATCCAAACTATTGTTATAAGTAAAAGAGAAGCGTCTTTTAATTTCAAAATAGATTCYGTGAGAAATCAAAAAGCTAAAGGTACTTTTTATATAAGCTAAATTATTTTTGTTAGTTTTTTTTTTTATAGTTTTGATTATTGAATATAGATCAAAAATTCAATACATTAAAATATTAACAAACCAAATAAAAACAAGCAGAATTATAAGTAATATTAAGTAATATTTATATATATAACTAAAAATATAAAATTAAAGTATATAAGTATAAGCAAAAACAATCAGATGATGAAACCAGCCAATTTCGTTAGTTTTACTCTCAAATAAATTATAAATCAAACAACAATAAAATTCTGCAAAATCACTGATTTTGTCAAATTTAAATTATCAGTATAATTTAACATGACATCTATCCTTTACATTACTTTTGTTTAAATATTCMAAAAATCATGCATTTGCCGTCATAGATAGAATATGAAATTATATGCAATAACAACGTATTAATATATTAATATCAAAAGTTAAAAGTAGATAATTTGTATTTATATGAGGAAAAATTCGTWGAAATTACCTAYCAAATTTGTAAAAAGCATATATGTAAATCTTATCGTTTGTCACGAGTATTATAATATTATCTTTGTTCATTAATGAAGGTTACTCGTTCATGATTTTGAATGTATTTTTTCTTAGATTCGAGGTTTACTGCATCAACAGGTAGATTAGTGGATAGCCTTATCTCCACGGAGTTGTAATACGTAAGTATACCTATATATGTTTCTAAGCTAGCCAAGAAAGTTAATTAGTGTGGTACTACAAACGTTTTCCTTTTATCGGACAACAACACTACATCGGTATCGCAAATGGCATAATGATTTGAATTTACTAAAGGTAGGTACTAAAAACAATGAATGACGCGCAGTAATTACCACCTGTATGTATGTATATATGCATGTATGTATGTATGTATGTATGTATGTATGTATGTATGTATGTATGTATGTATGTATGTATGTATGTATGTATGTATATGTATGTATTTGTGTATGTGTGTACGAGTGTATATACCTATTATTTATATCGTACAACACCTTAATTTAGAGTCATGCAGGTTAATCCAGCGAACATTGCAATGTATTATCTTTTGACTATTGTTCAAAGGATATATTACTATACCTATTACTATATTAATATTTAAATTTTAATCATATAACTGACATGCTAAAAG